TTCATCATCTAATGCAAAACCACTCAGCATGACCTCAAATTCCTTGATGAACTGTGGGTAGTCGGCTGGGTTTCCATCGAAGTATCGCGGTTCAAACTTAGGCAATCTTAAACCCTTACTACCCCTTAACGGTGAAGCGTGAACATCAAACTCAACATGCTGAGCAACATACATATTATTACAATTAACAGGCAACTCATCGTTACTTACTTTTTTGTCTGCTTCCACGGTGCCACGTCCCTTTCTTGACCCAGGCATTATCCAACGTCACCGAAAATCCAAATTCCGTTGATAATCCTTGTCCAAAGAGAAGCTGGCTGCAGATCTAGTAAGTACACCCGGTTTCCAGAAGGCGCCCACGAAGACTTAGAGAAGAATAAAAACTGTCAAGGAACTTAGCCCTAAGTTCCTATTGTAACGAAGACTTAAGCGATTGAACCGATAAACACTATGTATTTCCTTCAACTTTAAATCCAAAACACCAGTATTCCTCGAACGAAATTATATTGTTTGACAATTAAAGTGAAGAAAACTACAAAGTCTTCAAACAAATGTTAAGTACAAATGAAGTTATAAAGTACTTTTATTCGTATTTAAATCCAGTCTTCCTTCAACTTGCAAGCGATCGTTCCATTCGCGCCTTCAATTGCCCGCCAATGGTTGCCAGTTACAATAAAACAAACGTTCAATGTTCACTTCCATTGACATGAGGTTTGTCAAGTTTAGATAATTGATTAGTTAATACAAGAATGATGTAGTATAGAGACAAAGTTAATCAGACAGCAACTAAAGTAAGATTGAGTTAGTAAGCTAGATGACGTAATATAATTGGCTGAAATGTTACAACTTAGGTCAGGGTAGCAATAAAGGTAATTACAGGTAGAGACTAAGTAGAAATGAAATTGAGTAAATAAGTTGGATGACGCAACATAAATGACTAGAAATTGAGCGTTGTTCAAGTCAGTAACAGTGGTAGTGAGGTGTAGAAATTAAATTGGGTGGGGGTAGAGAATAAGAAAGTTGAAAATGTAAAATATTACAATTGAGAAGACAAAATAGTACTAATGAAGACACAGAAAAAAAGATTAGGTAGAATTCACTTGTCGGCTAATAAGATAGATTACGTCCATTGCTTCTGCAGTTTGAAGAAGTCTGATTCGTACACCTTTAGGAAGACTACTTCTTACTCTGTAGACGACTTTGAAGTTTGTTTGCGGTGTAGCTTGGTGTGCGGATTCTATCACATGTTCTAAGATGGAACTGCGGGGGCATCGATTTTCTCCTTTGTAAAACCATGTTGGTAAGTGTTTGGTGATACGTTTGGAAAGCGAACGCTGGGTACAGCCGACATACCTGGCTCCACACGAGCATACACATCTAACCATAGAGTTTAAATTCTTTCGTTTGATTATTGTGATTTCGCAACCAATATAGGACGAACACTTGTCCTTATCAGTATTAATCATGACTCCAGATGGAGATAACTAAGGAGATGGACAGTGAAAATGCTTTCTCTTACGAAAGATACGTGAAATTAGGGCTTACAGCTTTCATAAGTAAAAACACAGTTTTTTTGTTCAGAGAAGAAATTTCTTTTCAACGACTTCATTTTCAAGCTGTACAGTCGTATTCATATTACAGAAAAGGTTATTAAGTGGCACTAAATAACTGCTCAGTCAATATACATATATCTGTGATAAGAATAACAATAATTAAAATGTTGTAAGGGGTAGAGTTGAAGTGGATGGATTACAAAATTATTAAAGATTGTTTTATAAATGAATTGAAATCAAAAATTTTTTTAAATGCCAAGTGTTGTCTAAAACTTCTAAAAATTAGGAGTACGATTACGATAAGAATGAAGATGTGAAATGAAATGGAAAGAGTTCAAGTGATGAAATAAAACAAAATAAAAACTAGAAAGAACATTACTATGGCCAAGGTAAACAAAGGGGTTTGACAAAACGTTTTTGAATACATAATTTAGGTTTCTGTTCATGTATAGCTAAAGCTTCGGCTATGCATAAGTGAAGAAAACGTAAACTTTTGGATCGATTCGATTCTGCCATGTAGTTAGCCTTGAAAGATGAATCAAGTGAGGCTAAATGACCAGACTGTAACAGGTGATCACAAATAGACGACTTCGCAGTCCTACGTTCGCCTTTCATTAACCAAACAAGAAAGGGTTCAGCTACATCTTTATCTGAAGATGAATAAGCTTCAGTTTTTTGTTCAAACAAATCGACTGTTTCATCATAATAGTCAGGATGAAACCTAATGAAATCCTCTTTCTGCTTTGTGTTTTTTATTCACCTGTCGCCTATCTAAAATTTAGCGAAGCTTCTACTTCCATCGTCTACCCATTGGACTATGCGTAAGTCACTTTTTTAGTACATTTATGGGAGTTATTACATATGTCATAAAGTAAAGTGACTATTTTTAATCCCCTGCCCAAATCGTTGAGACGTGCAGCTTCGAATGATTGCCTGAAATTCCATACTTTGCCCAAATTTCCACTCCTTTCATAGTTTGAACTTGACTCATACATTCTTACATCTTATGTTTCCATAGTCGATTCCTTGTAATTTCCTTTGTCGAATACATCCTCATATATTTCACATGACACGTATGAAAATTAATGAGGATTGTTCAACAGTCGAATGCTATCAAATTTCGTTGAATTCATCAAATCATGCTCTATTATTACTTGTCACTTGGTTTAAACTCATACAAGGAATAAATGTCAACCTGTGTAATAAATGGAACTAACCACTGATACTACGACGTCCTATTCTAAGGAAGGTGATTATAATCATAATAATAATAATGCCTTTATTCGAAACAATATTTATGATACAATCTAGATTTTTCAGCACGCGTTACAATATTGCGTCTAATTCGCTCTTTACATCACATACTACGGGAGGGGAGAAATATTTAAGAGGACAAAATCAAAGATATTAATACCAAGGATAAAACTATGATATCTTTGGACATAACATCTTTATTCACAAATGAACCTCTAGTAGAAACACTTAACTACATATGTGAATAACTGTATAACCAGTTGATAAATATTGATATCACAACGGAAATCCTAAAAGAACTGTTATTGAGGTGTACCATGAGTGTACATTTTAAATTTGATGACACACTCTGCAAACAAGTGGACGAGGTGGCAACAGGCTCACCACTGAGTCCCATATTGGCATATTTGTTTCTAAGTTAACAAGAAAATGGACTTTTGAACAACCTTGACAGAAAATTCTCATATTATTGCTGGTATATGGATGACACCTTTACTCTTTGTGATTATGATTCGGAAAGGAACACAATAACAATTCATTTCAATGCAGTACATTGTGGTATGAAATTCACGTGCGAAGAGGAATCCCAACATAGAATTAATAGCTTTCCTGGACATCCTCATTACAAGATAACCAGACGGTGGTTTAGAGAGAAATTTGCATAGGACAATATACACACTTTGATGGCTCCGTTCCTCTCCAGTACAAAAGAGATTTAGTAAGGACCTCAGCCACAGGCTTAAAGCTATATGCTCAGAAGAGGCAGCTGAAAATGAACTAAGGACTGTATATGATACATTGATCGAAAATAGCTATCACCACGAAACATATGACTAAGAACAAAAAGTCTTTATACATACGATTGCGATTCAAGGGCGATATACCTAGCGAAATACTTACGAAAAGTTACGAAATTCTACTCAAAACACTTATAATGTTGACAAACTGCAAGTCTTATTTCCTACAAGACCTAGACCAGCCACTTCTATCTGTATCTGCCAATTCATCTGCGCTTGTGGTGGAGCGAGTTATATTGGCTGTTGCTCTAGGAACTTGATTTTTCGTGCTCGCTCGGGAACATCTACCAGTGTGGTTAAATAAAGGTGTAGTGAGTAGCGTCAACTGCTCGATATTAGACCACCTGGTCCCAACCGGCCGGAAAGCTAATATTGAAGAGTCCTTCTCCATCATCTATTGGGTACCAAACAAATTGTCAAAAACATGCAGATACCACACCATCCAAATAGCCGAGGTCATCGCGATTCGTCTGAAACAACCGACGCTCTGTGTGCAAAAGAAACATGTCCAGCCGCTACTACTGCCCTGGCTAGCCTTCACCGGAGACTATAAACTCATTATTTTTCCCTAATTTTTCTGATATTCACTGTATGGTTATGTTGATTCTATCGCACTGTAATCCATTGAGATCATTATTGGATCGATGTTATTTAAACAATATGAATGTTTTTAATAACAGTAATTCATTCACTATAGTGTATATATATAACTGTAAAACCTAATGAAGACCAGGTTATCGAAAAGAACATTCTTTGTTCAGTCACCATTAATGGGCATTTTTAATCAGTCCGGCAAGATAATATTCACTAATTTTCTGCATGAGTTCAGGTATCTGTTTTAATAAGTTAGTTTAGCAACACCTCACTCACCCTACCAACAGTTTTTATTGCTTTTTGCAGTATAACAAAGTCTTTCTTAAGTAACTCAGAGAAGATCAAGTTGTGAGCAGAGCAATACAGGAAAATAAGATTAAGAGTAGAGAGATTCAATGATACAAATCTGACTTAACTTCCTTCCAGAAATTAAGACCAGCGAAGATTAGAGAAAAGAGGTAATCCAAGTTATTTAACATTTGTTTTAGTTTCAACTTCACTTTCATCTATTATACAAGAATCTTATTGCATCATAAAATAATTGAACTTTATCATTTCAATTTATCCTGAACTTAGAACTCATCTCACCTCGAATAAGCTCATTGCCAAACAAGTGACACTAGCATTTAACTACTAAGTCCTACTGGTTTGAGAAGACTGACATCTAATTACACAAATCCCGCTGAAATCATACGCGAATGACGAGTACGAATCAAATGCAAACATACTGAATTAACTTGAAATTCTAGAAGACACTAACATGATATTTCCCTGTTTCCCCTAAAAAATAAAAATATTCAAAGAACACGCCAAACATATTCCACAGAATACTTTGAATAAAACAAACAAACAAAAAAATGAATGTTCAATATATATATATTTATTGTAGAAAAGAAGAGAAAAGGTGAATGTTGTTGAAAATATTAAACACAAATGTTGTTGTATATGTATATAAAATATTAATATATATTAAGGAATTACACATGACTTGAACAATCGAATTGTCGATTTTCATTGGAATTAACGCAGAACAATATATATGTGTTCAGTAGTAAAATAGTGTTCAGAACAAAATTTGAATGCATTCAAAGTATGATACCGATAACAGACAGACAAAACAAAAAAAACCAAGGACGTCATTGTAGTCATCAGTAACGTTTAATCCATCTTTGATGCATAATTATCTAAGCGGTTATTTAAACGTTGAATAACTGAAATTAAAAAAAATATGATTAAAATATTTAATGTTTTGATGACTCGACTTACGGATGAGGAGAACAGATTTAAGTTTTTCACCAAGACCATCTCTTTCCAAGTATTCAGAGACTTGTTGACGAACCTTTGCCATCGCCTTGACTAGCAACATTCTAAGCTTCTGACCAACTTCAGTTGCAGTTTGTAGCTGTTGTTATTTATATTTTATAAAGGGTGTATATATAATTAACTTACCATCTGATCCTCGCTACCAGGTCTTGCACTGAAAAATAAATATAAAAAGGATCATTAATTAAAACTTTTAAAGGAAAGTGGGACTATTGATTCAAAAGTATATATATGTATAAGGATAATTTTGGTTTGTCCAACTCAGTAATTGACTGACCTTACTGCAATGGGATGGATGGTTCAAGTCAATCGGATTCGTCAGCTGAAATCGTGATCAATCGTGACTAGGCCGGAGAACTTAACTTAATATACTGACCAATATATTCAGTCAGTTGATGAGGAGGATTAGACATCTACGAAAACTAATAACCAGCCTTTTTAGAGAGTTACCCGTCATTATTGAATGCATAAAAAGAATCCCTTCATCATTAGTAAACAAATGATAAATAAAAGTAGAAGAATTCATGAGAATTCCTCGGGGGGATTTCAGAAGCCGAGGACTACAGATTGTTTCCTAATACAACAACATACAAATCAAAGTCAGAACTGTCTTGTTTTTTTTACAATATTTTCTATTCCATAGGTAAATGTCGTTGAGGGATAGCTGGTAGTTATTACGTAATGAATGCAGTAAAACCACGTCTAATATATGCTATGCACGTTAATGCATCTGTAAATATTTTTTAATCATAAAAAGGGCAGTATTCTCTAATGTATCATTGTCTAGTCATCCTTACTCCTCAAGTATATATATATATATATGGATCAATACAGATTTTGTCTCAAGCCTACATCAGTATAGAGACAAATATTGAAATCTAGAGTTCAGTGGACAGGTATCTTGTCCTAGCTTGAGACTTCCCACCAATAAGGAGTCATGACTTCATTAAGAGTCGAACTGTAGATCGTCTCGGTTATGAGGTGAACCTGTTGACAGACTCAGTCAATTCTAATAATTCTAACAGGTAATAGAACATGAAACTCATACATTTTGGTTTCTAACCTTGAAGATATCAAAGTTTGATGACTACTGAGGATTCCTATAGTGGAACGACAGGACTAGTCCAGTATGCCCTTACTAATAAAACATCAGTTGACTTATAAACTCTATCTTTCTAAGTTCAATAAAACTGCTTAAGACAGCAAGTAACAATCAAGGCAATCTAATGAAATAATAATTAACTTGTATAAAAATTATATGTACACACGACAGAAAAACTTACTCGACGTAGACTACTGCCATAAGAACGAACAAACTCAAGGCGAAAATGAATTTCATTTTGATTATTGCTCAATTTTACAGTTGTCTGATATTGAAACACTAGTATATGTGACACCTAAGCTACTTTTATATACATTTTCAACCCTGAAAATATCACGCCATATCAGACAAAATGAAAATATACATTGACTAAGACAATGTGTTAATTATGTGATGCCTAGTAGAATGTGGAGGTGGTTTGAAGGCTAACAGATATGGGGAGGGGGAAGGCATTCTTGTCTAGTGTAACCTGTATGACGTTAAACTGTTGAAACTGTTTTTGTAATTTGTGTATGTGACTGTGCATGTGTGTGTTAATCACTTGTTACACCTTATTGTTTATATTCTTAAATGATTTGTTATTTAGAATTATTTACATGATAACCAAGTCCATTAAGGCATTTGTTTAATTTGTTATCAAAATTAAAATAAAATTCAAGTCATTATTCCGCTTATTATTTATTAAAAATGTCATATAATTACTTATATATTTGATTTAATCATAATACTATTGTCTGGTTCATATTTAATAGGGTCTTAAGAGGTTAGACAAAAATTTCATATCCTATATTGTATTTATAATAATTACGCATTCATAAACTTTTCGACGTAAATGTGAAACCTCAGTGGAAAGTCTAGTTTATTCCAGTTTATTCTCTGTTATCACTTTTAAGTTCACTCCTCGATTAACCAGAAGATTTCATTTCCTCTTTTCAAAATGATCCCTTTTATGCTATTATCAGATCCACACCTAACTTTTCACGTCTTATTTGAATCTTACTTACTTGATGTAGGGGCACGCAGTGAAACCTGAAGGTCTCCCCAGCCCCCCCCCGCCCAGGGTGCAAGTTGATGAATCCATCTTCATTTATTTCTGTGTATATGTTGAGCGATGGTATTATTATTAATATTGTTTTCTTTAATTCCTAGAGGAACATAGGGCTTCAGCCGTGCGTCTCCATTGCGTTCGCTTCTCTACTAGAGTCTTCACCTGGCTCCAAGTCTGTCCACACGCTTTCATCTCCTCTTCACATGACCTCCTCCAATGTCACCCTTGCACTGACGACCAACTCACTGCTTCCCTTTAGGGTTCCACTCGAGCAATGGCTTGTCTAGTGATGTCACTTGATGGTTTCCTCAAAGAATGGCCAATCCATTTCCATTTCTTCCTGCCTATTTGTTGCACAGTTGGTTCCTGCTGGGTTGGTTCGCTCCCAGAGATCCCTCCCTGTTGCTGATCTTTTCTGGCCAGCCATCTGATCTTGAGTATTGAGCGAAGACAACTGTTAATGAAGGTCTGTAGTTTGTTTGAGGTGCTCTTTATGACCTGTCAAGTCTCTGATCCGTATAGTAGCACTGACTTCACATTGGAGTTGAAAATCCGAATTTTCGCCAACCACGCAGTTGAGCGATAGGTTCACTACTAATATTCCATTGTTGTTTAATCTTTATGATTGGCAAGAAATAGCCTGACGGCGAGAGTGTGTTGCGATCTGTTCAGTGTGCTTTTAATGATTCTGGTGTCTAGTTGTTGAAACGTATTAGAAGATTTGGGGTGAATTCCTTCATTGTACTAAATATTGCAGATCCTCATGCTGATTTTTGTGTTATTTATTCATTTAAATCACAAAACCTACCACAAAATGGGCTCCAAGAAGATGCGCCATGTAATAAAACAATATATAAAGAAAGTAATGACAGAATGGATGAATTACTTCTTTCACAAAAGGAAGCAACTATATTTAACAAACATCATCCTTTGAATCACTGTCAGAAACGAAAGAAGAAAAGAATTCGCAGCAAGTTCGCCATTGATTGTGATTCTTGGCTAAATGTGATTAGGTTTTGAGTCACCGATCACAATTGTCTCTCGGACCCCAACCAGGAAGTCCTGACGTACCAACCGATGCTAACCTACTACAAACATCCTTTTTCTCAAGACGCTGCTGCACGGGCTGACAACCTCCCCGATTTTTTCACCCCGTCCCAGGGCTAGTGAACACAGACTGGGTAAGTTGTCGTCTCTGGGAAGACATTTTAGAACATGTCCAGGATAAGAAAGCCATTGTTGTCAGATGACGGCTACCACTGAATGATTATCTACTGGACCTCAGAATTACTCACATGATGATACAATCGAACGCAAGCAATTCTACAGACACGGTGACGATCGAATACGCAAAGTAGCCGCACATTCTTTCCTCACAGACCCTGATTTCACAGTAATGGACACCTGTCCTGCTTTCTGAATCGTGGCTGGCTTCAACACCCTCACTTGCTCCGCCTATATTAGAGATGATACCGCCCAGAAGGGACTGTGAGTATTGAATTCTTCAGCTACTACTAAATGTTGGTGCGCTTTAAATAACATTCACTTTAGAGTTAGAATTAATTGTGTCACTTTCTTCATTACAGTTACAGAGTTTAAATTACGCTATTTAATACAAACTGTCCACTTATCTGTGATTAGTAAATAATTAAAACTAGAAGAAATCTAAAGACGTTTTTGCCTCACAATGCACTATATCTAGTCAGCTAGCTAGACAAAGTCAGTGAGTATTCATAATGTATATGTGTATATATCCAGCTCTCAGAACAGAATCTACATGATGAGATCATTTTCTCCTTCATATACAACTGCGATAATTTACAGCGTCGAAATGCAGGAAGAAAACACCTAAAAGTACTCAACAAATAATTAGATTGGATGGAGCGGACAATAGTTACAAAACCACTGGAAAACCTGGAAGTACTGGAAAGCTGTTTCTCCCGTCCTAGTCTGGGACTCTTCACAGGACGCACCAACCAGGGTTCGAAACCAGGCAGGTTGAAGGCGAGGCAGTAGCTCATCGAAAAAGACACTGCAAAGTGATCGCGCTATTTCATAAATTGGCAGAAGTTAGAATTCATGCACTGACCATTGGATCGGTTACCAGTGGCTCAGTGGTCTACGAGCTCGCTGGCCTTGTAATCAGAAGGTCCTGAGTTTGACCCCTGGTGGAGGCTGCGTACTGCTGAATAGCCCCAGATTAGGAAGGAGGAGACAGCTGTCCAGTACTCCCAGCTGGTTTTCCAATGGTTCTCTGATGGATGTCAGCTCATGATGAACTCCTCCATCCAATCAAACAAAATCCCTACAAAGCCAATACTTGAAGATAATTAGATCTCAATAATTTGAACACAGAAAGAATGAACATATTTGCAGGATAACACAAGCTCGTTTAATTTCATATTGTCCTGCAAATATGTTCATCCTTTCTTTTTCCAAACTAATCAAGGTAATCGGTTTAACACATTTAACACATTGAAGTCACCTATTAGTTGTGACAGACGGCAGAAAATAGAACTTGGTACCTAGCGTAGAGAAGGTAAACGGACATGACACCTTGTGATCGCAGTGCGATCCGACAGGTTGGACGCCGCACCAATAATTCGGAAGCCTATAGTTCGAATCCTGCAGGAACTCAGATCTTCACTTTACCTTCCATTGTCACCAAATGTATCAAACTTTGTTACGAAGAGATATGTATTCGCATCTTAGGGGTTGAAACGGGGCATAGTCACAAGCTAATTTGAAAGGAACCCTATGTACAACTCATCGTTAACATCCGTGTATATTCCTTCGCGTTCCAATTTTAACATAGGGATTCAAGTTTCGAAGTTTAGGATTAAAATTAAGTTCTGCAACTTGAGTTATAGTCTAGTTGGGTATTTCACACTCTGAACTCAAGACCCATGGAAAGTCTTTATAACGCAGCAGTTTTTTCATCGCTTTACGTTTACAGTAGAAAAAAGGGCTTCAAGTCTGAACTTTGTAGTTTCACTCATCGTTGGTGTCGCCGTATTTTAAAGAAAGCCGTTACTAGCCCACTTACTACCGGCTAAGTTGGGTTTGGGAGTGTGTCGGCTGTGAACGATACCCGGATCACATGGCTTGGTTGCCAACATTCTACCAGTGAACCACTGACTGTTTTGAAATAAAAGGTTATATAATTAAACATATGTGCGTTGATTAATTAGGCTAACAAAGACCAAACGCTTGATCTCTGATGACTAAGAACAATACTCATCGCATAATTGATATATACCCAGGGAAGGAAAAGGTTTGGTAAACTTGAGATGTATCTGCAGTTGAAGATGTTAAAGTTGTGCTCGGAGAACAAAACAAAACTTCGTCGATCTGAAATTACTGTAAGAATCTACAACATTCAGCCTAAGAAACAAGATAAAAATTTTCAGCATTAATGTCGAATCCTTTGGTACCTCACTCTGGTTTAGAGATTTCTCGCATCACGAGAAACATCTCCAACAGGCTGCCGCAAACCTTAATCAACAACTGCCTTTACTTCCTCGATACCTAGGATCATACGGCCTGTCGCAGAGGTTAAACAACAATAAACTCTGGCAGGAGACGAACCAATTAAGAATCTATTGCTCAACAAACATGCTGAAGGAAATGAAGATTGATAAGACAGGTGAGGAAGAGATCTTTGAGTGGGGTCATGTGTCAGGCGCTCCAGTTTAACCCAAATGGGAAACGACTAGTTGGGCGTGAATCCCAGGAGGAAATGGAGGAAATCAATGTGATGAAGAAATGAAGGCTTATTGGTAATCAGGGAGTGTAGAGTGTAATAGAGAAATGCTGTTGAGGCCTAATGTTATACTGGAAATTCTATGGGATACTAATGATAAATCTGGATAAAAAGAGACAGATGGATACATTTTCAGATATCAGCAGAAAAAAAAGCAATTAAGTCTACATTAACAGTTGGTTAGAATTAGTACACAACAGCTAAGATGAAACTAAGGTTTGGTCTAAAAATGAATGCTCAATTCATGAAAAATCTGAATTAAAGATGCTGAAAAACGAAGAATTCATGTTATTTAGGCAGGAAACTGTTCTTCCAAATGACATTCTTTTTCTTGGTGTAAAGTTATCAAGACGGAAGGGCAGGACTTTGAGGAGATTGATTCGTAGAAAG